GCTCAATGCGATGTGACAGTCTGTGGGACAATCTGTGTGACGATCCGTGTGATTATTCAGTCAGATAGATCCGATTATAGGACAGGATATAGAAGTCAGACAGAGAGATGAGATTAGGGTACAGAATACATTAGCCCGTTAGAGAGATATAAACCAGAGAGATGTGATTATGGGAACAGTAGTTGAGCTTAGCGATCTATTAGAGGCCTAGGGCCTGAAATGTCGAGGGCCCTGTCATGCCTAGCTGCCAAACAAAAGGCGAGCTTTGAAGCCGGATAGGGGACAGGATATATTCGTCAGACAGATAGATGATATTAGAGGACAGGCTTTATTAACCAGAGATAGAGAGAGATGAGATTAGGGGACAGGATAAATGAGCCAGGCAGAGAGAGAGAGGGAGAGAGAGAGAGAGAGAGAGAGAGAGAGAGAGAGAGAGAGAGAGAGAGAGAGAGAGAGAGAGAGAGAGAGGGGGGGTGAGATTAGGGAACAGGATATGTAAGCCAGACAGACAGGCGAGTTTAGGGGACATGATTTATGAGCCAGAGAGGTGAGATTAGGGGACATGATATACAACCAGAGAGATGAGAGATTAGGAGATAGGATATATGACCAGAGAGATGAGATTAGGGGAAATGATATATTAGCAAAAGAGATGAGATTAGGGGACAGGATATTTCTGAGCCAGAGAGATGAGAGATTAAGAGATAGGATATATGACCAGAGAGATGAGATTAGGGGGCAGGATATATGACCAGAGAGATGAGATTAATGACAGGATATATGACCAGAGAGATGGGATTAGGGGACAGCATATTTGAGTAAGAGAGCTGAGATTAGGGACAGCATATATAAGCCAGAGAGGTGAGATTATTGGACAGGATATATAAGCCCGAGAGATGAGATTAGGGGACAGGATATATAAGCCCGAGAGATGAGATTAGGGGACAGGATATATAAGCCAGAGAAGGGAGATTAGGGGACAGGATATGTGAGCCAGACAGAGAGAAGTGAGATTAGAGAGGCAGAATGTGAGCCAGACAGAGAGATGAGATTAGGGGACAGAATATATGACCAGAGAGATGTAAAAAAAAGTAAAGATCCCTTTTCAAGCCTTTCGGCGCATCGGGCATATGGGCAGAGCGTCCCATATTTTTACAGACCATCAGCACTCTGTGGGTAATGTGGTCAGCATTACGCCGGCTGTCTTTACTTTCCCAGGACAGCCCATCCTGGTACCCATTTTAGGCTGGGTCGACCTGCGACGTCCCATACCACGACAAAAATCCACGCATAAGATTAATGGACAGGATATATGAATAGAGAGATAAGATAAATGGACAGGAAAAATGAATTGAGAGATGAGATTAATGGACAGGATATTTGATCAGAGAGATGAGATTTATGAACAGGATATATGAATAGAGAGATGAGATTAATGGACAGGATATTTCATCAGAGAGATGAGATTAATGGACCGAATATACATACAGAGAGATGAGATTACTGGACAGAATATATATACAGAGAGATGAAATTAATGGACAGGATATATAAACAGAGAGATGTGATTAATGGACAGGATATATGAACAGAGAGATAAGATTAATGGACAGAATATATGACCAGATAGGTGAGATTAACGGACATGATATTTGATCATAGAGATTAGGTTAATGGACAGGTCTGTCATGCCTTGGGGTCTGTCATGCCTTGGGGTCTGTCATGCCTAGGGCTCAGTCATGCCTAGGGCTCTGTCATGCCTTGGGGTCTGTCATGCCTTGGGCTCTGTCATGCCTTGGGGTCTGTCATGCCTAGGGGTCTGTCATGCCTAGGGCTCTGTCATGCCTTGGGGTCTGTCATGCCTTGGGGTCTGTCATGCCTAGAACTCTGTCATGCCTTGGGGTCTGTCATGCCTAGGGGTCTGTCATGCCTAGGGCTCTGTCATGCCTAGGGCTCTGTCATGCCTAGGGGTCTGTCATGCCTAGGGGTCTGTCATGCCTAGGGGTCTGTCATGCCTTGGGGTCTGTCATGCCTAGGGGTCTGTCATGCCTTGGGGTCTGTCATGCCTTGGGGTCTGTCATGCCTTGGGGTCTGTCATGCCTTGGGGTCTGTCATGCCTTGGGGTCTGTCATGCCTTGGGGTCTGTCATGCCTTGGGGTCTGTCATGCCTAGGGGTTCTGTCATGCCTTGGGGTCTGTCATGCCTAGGGCTCTGTCATGCCTAGGGCTCTGTCATGCCTTGGGGTCTGTCATGCCTAGGGCTCTGTCATGCCTTGGGGTCTGTCATGCCTAGGGCTCTGTCATGCCTAGGGCTCTGTCATGCCTAGGGGTCTGTCATGCCTAGGGGTCTGTCATGCCTAGAACTCAGTCATGCCTTGGGGTCTGTCATGCCTAGAAAGTCATGCCTTGGGGTCTGTCATGCCTTGGGGTCTGTCATGCCTTGGGGTCTGTCATGCCTAGGGCTCTGTCATGCCTAGATCTCTGTCATGCCTAGGGCTCTGTCATGCCTTGGGGTCTGTCATGCCTAGGGCTCTGTCATGCCTAGGGCTCTGTCATGCCTTGGGGTCTGTCATGCCTAGGGCTCTGTCATGCCTTAGGATCTGTCATGCCTAGGGCTCTGTCATGCCTAGGGCTCTGCCATGCCTAGGGCTCTGTCATGCCTAGGGGTCTGTCATGCCTAGGGCTCTGTCATGCCTTGGGGTCTGTCATGCCTAGAACTCAGTCATGCCTTGGGGTCTGTCATGCCTTGGGGTCTGTCATGCCTTGGGGTCTGTCATGCCTAGGACTCTGTCATGCCTAGGGGTCTGTCATGCCTTGGGGTCTGTCATGCCTTGGGGTCTGTCATGCCTGGGGTCTGTCATGCCTAGGACTATGCCATGCCTAGGGCTATGCCATGCCTAGGGGTCTGTCATGCCTAGGGGTCTGTCATGCCTTGGGGTCTGTCATGCCTTGGGGTCTGTCATGCCTTGGGGTCTGTCATGCCTTGGGGTCTATCATGCCTAGGGTTCTGTCATGCCTAGGGGTCGTCATGCCTAGGGGTCTGTCATGCCTAGGGGTCTGTCATGCCTAGGGGTCTGTCATGCCTAGGGTTCTGTCATGCCTAGGGGTCTGTCATGCCTAGGCTTCTTGTCATGCCTAGGGGTCTGTCATGCCTAGGACTATGCCATGCCTAGGGGTCTGTCATGCCTAGGACTATGCCATGCCTAGGGGTCTGTCATGCCTAGGGGTCTGTCATGCCTAGGGGTCTGTCATGCCTATGCCTGTACAAATGTCATGCCTAGGGTCCTGTCATATCTAGGTCTGTGTCATGCTTTAGGGTCTGTCATGCCTAGGGTCTGTCATTGCCTAGGGGTCTGTCATGCCTTGGGGGTCCTGTCATGCCTAGGGGTCTGTCATGCTTTGGGGTCTGTCATGCCTTGAGGGTCTATCCTGGGTGTCCTTCCTAGGGTCTGTCCATGCCTAGGGTCTATCATGCCTAGGGGTCTGTCATGCCTTAGGGTCTGTCATGCCTAGGGGTCTGATACCATGCTTGGTTTCTTTAGATGAGAAGCAATATCTAAAGTCCATGCTTTTATCTACTACCTGACTGACAAACAGTTTCTTTAGATGAGAAGCAATATCTAATGTCCAGCTTTATACTACCTGACAAATAGTTACTATAGATGAGAAGCAATATCTAAAGTCCAGCTTAGGCCTTGGGTGTCATGCCTAGGTCTGTCTACCTGACCTAATAGTTACTATAGATGCCAAGCAATATCTGAAGTCTAGCTTTATACTACCTGACAAATAGTTACAATAGATGAGAAGCAATATCTAAAGTCCAGCTTTATACTACCTGACAAATAGTTACTATAGATGAGAAGCAATATCTGAAGTCCAGCTTTATACTACCTGACAAATAGTTACTCTAGATGAGAAGCAATATCTAAAGTCCAGCTTTATACTACCTGACAAACAGTTTCTTTAGATGAGAAGCAATATCTGAAGTCCAGCTTTATACTACCTGACAAATAGTTACAATAGATGAGAAGCAATATCTAAAGTCCAGCTTTATACTGCCTGACAAATAGTTACAATAGATGAGAAGCAATATCTAAAGTCCAGCTTTATACTACCTGACAAACATATTCTTTAGATGAGAAGCAATATCTAAAGTCCAGCTTTATACTACCTGACAAATAGTTACAATAGATGAGAAACAATATCTAAAGTCCAGCTTTATACTACCTGACAAATAGTTACTCTAGATGAGAAGCAATATCTAAAGTCCAGCTTTATACTACCTGACAAACAGTTTCTTTAGATGAGAAGCAATATCTAAAGTCCAGCTTTATACTACCTGACAAATAGTTACTATAGATGAGAAGCAATATCTGAAGTCCAGCTTTATACTACCTGACAAATAGTTACAATAGATGAGAAGCAATATCTGAAGTCCAGCTTTATACTACCTGACAAATAGTTACAATAGATGAGAAGCAATATCTGAAGTCCAGCTTTATACTACCTGACAAACAGTTTCTTTAGATGAGAATACTATCTAAAGTCCAGCTTTATATTACCTGACAAATAGTTACTATAGATGAGAAGCAATATCTGAAGTCCAGCTTTATACTACCTGACAAATAGTTACAATAGATGAGAAGCAATATCTGAAGTCCAGCTTTATACTACCTGACAAACAGTTTCTTTAGATGAGAAGCAATATCTAAAGTCCAGCTTTATACTACCTGACAAACAGTTTCTTTAGATGAGAAGCAATATCTAAAGTTCAGCTTTATACTACCTGACAAACAGTTTCTTTAGATGAGAAGCAATATCTAAAGTCCAGCTTTATACTACCTGACAAATAGTTACTATAGATGAGAAGCAATATCTGAAGTCCAGCTTTATACTACCTGACAAATAGTTACCATAGATAAGAAGCAATATCTGAAGTCCAGCTTTATACTAAGTGACAAATAGTTACCATAGATGAGAAGCAATATCTGAAGTCCAGCTTTATGCTACCTGACAAACACTACTTGAAGGGAATCCGAACACCGTATCTCCAGTCAGCAAGGATCGGAGCCAGGGATGCTCACACCGGCACTGTACATGCTCCCACCGGCACCGTACATGCCCCCACCCGCACCGTACATGCTCACACCGGCACCGTACATGCTCACACCGGCACCGTTCATGCTCACACCGGCACCGTACATGCTCACACCGGCACCGTACATGCTCACACCGGCACCGTACATGCTGACACCGGCACCGTACATGCTGACACCGGCACTGTACATGCTCACACCGGCACCGTACATGCTGACACCGGCACCGTACATGCTCACACCGGCACTGTACATGCTCACACCGGCACCGTACATGCTGACACCGGCACCGTACATGCTCACACCGGCACCGTACATGCTCACACCGGCACCGTACATGCTCACACCGGCACCGCTCACACTCACACCGGCACCGTACATGCTCACACCGGCACCGTACATGCTCACACCGGCACTGTACATGCTCACACCGGCACCGTACATGCTCACACCGGCCTGTCCGTACATGCTCACACCGGCACCGTACATGCTCACACCGGCACCGTACATGCTCACACCGGCACCGTACATGCTCACACCGGCACCGTACATGCTCACACCGGCACCGTACATGCTCACACCGGCACCGTACATGCTCACACCGGCACCGTACATGCTTACCCATGTGAACATTTGGCTGTCAGATAGAGTTTAGTTTCTTGACGTCTGTAATCAAGCTAAATTTACTCACGCGATAAAACGTTGTAATCATGGCCAGCATTTGTAGAGGAGTGAGTTGCCAGCCCCCGTACCAGCACCTGTAGATGGGAGTGAGCTCCCGGCCCCCAAGCTGGCACCTGTAGGAAGGATGAACAGCCAGCCCCCAAAGCCAGTTCCAGCGTAGAAGCCGTAGATACCAGAACTCAGGTAGTCAGTGCTAAAATAAGACAGATCTAACATGGCTTCAGCTAGCTGAGTTTGTTGGGCCGGCTGTTACTGTGCTCACTTATCATCTACCTGCTCAAACCTGCTGTAGCTGAGCAGCACATTGGCACACGGGACCGCTTGTAGCCTTCAGCAAGTCGTCTGAACTCAATGAGTTTCTCATTTATAAACACAAACATTTCTGTTTTTGTGTTTTCACCATCAGGAAATTGTTCATGTCAGCTGGAAGTTTATGAATTCTACTTCATGTCAGGGAATTACTGATTTCAAGCGGGAATAACTAATGACGCAACTACGTCAGAGAACTACTAGTATGTTGTTGCTGTAAATATTGCATACATTGTTTGTGTAAATGTACCATAGACTGTAGCGTAAATATGACATAGATTGTGTAAAAAATGCACAGATTGTTGGTATAAATATAGCATCTATTGTTAGTGTAACTTTGGTATAGATTGTTGATGTCAATATAGCACATATTTTTCTTGTACATATAGCACATATTTTTGGTGTAAATGTAATATATGTTGTTGGTGTCAATATGGCAAATGTTGTTGATGTAAATGTAGCATAGATTGTTGATATAAATGTAGCATAGACTATTGATGTAAGTACAGCACAGATTTTGATGTAAATATAGCACAGATTTTTGTTGTAAATACAATACTCACATTTGGAGCCAATACACAGTACTTGCGAGTTTCATGGATGGGATATCATGAGCCAGACTTTTCTGCCACATGCAGAGCTCAAGTTTAAAAAAAATTGTATCTCTTGTTCGTTGTTGCTGATGTTTACATTTATTGACAGTCTCTCTCTCTCTCTCTCTCTCTCTCTCTCTCTCTCTCTCTCTCTCTCTCTCTCTCTCTCTCTCTCTCTCCTCTCTCTCTTTCTGTCAAATAAAGTTTGTTGGTTCGTTTCTTCGTTCATTATATCTCTCCCTATAAAATAAAGTTGTTTTTTTCATCTGTTTCTTCTTTCTTTCTCTCTCTCTCTCTCTCTCTCTCTCTCTCTTCTCTCTCTCTCTCTCTCTCCTCTTGATCTCTCTCTCTCTCTCCGTCTCTCTCTCTCTCTCTTTTCTCTCTTGCTCTCTCTCTCTCTCTCTCTCTCTCTCTCTCTTCTCTCTCTCTCTCTCTCTCTCTCTCTCTCTCTCTCTCTCTCTCTCTCTCTCTCTCTCTCTTTCTGATGTCTGCGATTAGTGACCATTACACTAGCCTTATCCACACATTGATATGACATCCACGGGGAGTCAATGTCATGTAATAAATCCTCTTTGGAAGGATTTATTTCAAGACCCCAGTGGATGTGTTTGGCTTGTAGAATTTCCGTTCCGCCGCCATAAGCAAACAACTGATTGCATGCAACAGCAACGTATTATTTGTAGTTCGCCCAACGACAGTCATTGATTGCTGACCATTTTCTGGCCTGTGGATGTACAGCTGACCTTATTGCTGCGCCTAGTGACATCAGTCTACAGGTCGCATCGTTCCTCTAGAACATATCTCGCCTAAAGAACTCTACTCAACCAATTATCCTCCCCTACAGCCGGGTCTATGTGAGCGCATGTGTGACCGTATAACGCGGGGGTGCTCGTGTGTGTGTGTGTGTGTGTGTATTTGTATGTACATCACTCCACCCAACACATGTTGCTGTATGCGAACGTGGGTGTTTGTGTATTGTATCCTTGACCTGACAATAACATGTGTGTGTGGGTGTTTGTGTCACCTATCTTTTGACATTCATATGTAATTGTGGGTGTTTTTATCACCTATCTTTTGACATTCATATGTATTTGTGGGTGTTTGTGTCACCTATATTTTGACATTCAAATGTATTTGTGGGTGTTTGTGTCACCTATCTTTTGACATTCATATGTAATTGTAGGTGTTTGTGTCACCTATCTTTTGACATTCATATGTAATTGTGGGTGTTTGTGTCACCTGTCTTTTGACATTCATATGTAATTGTGTGTGTATGTGTGTGTGTGTTTGTGTACTGTATCTTTGACCTGACAATCATATATATATATGTGTGTGTGTGTGAGTCTGTGTTTGTGTAACGTATCATTAGTCTGACAATCATGTATGTGTGTGTGTGTGTGTGTGTGTGTGTGTGTGTGTACTGTATCTTTGACCTGACAATCATATATATATATGTGTGTGTGTGTGTGTGTTTGTGTAACGTATCTTTGGTCTGACAATCATATGTGTATGTGGGTGTTTGTGTACCGTATGATTGGTCTGAAAATCATATGTTGTGTATATATAGGATATTGTGTGTCTGTGTATAAGTGTGAGTATTTGTGTAATGTAAACACATATATACCCCTCCCCCCCCCACCACACACACACACATACACACGAGCGCGCACGATCAGACACATTCATTACATACATACAAAGATACATACACGCATACACACACAAAGACACGCCCAGGCATACCTACATGCATGCACACATACATATGTATATATGTACTCTAGGCAGTCTATGACAGTGACTGGAAAGTTCTCTACACAGTCTATGACAGTGACTAGACAGTTCTCTACACACAGGCAGTGATGGCAGTCTATGACTAGACAACAGTTCTCTACACAGTCTATGACAGTGCCTAGACAGTTCTCTACACAGTCTATGACAGTGACTAGACAGTTCTCTACACAGTCTATGACAGTGACTAGACAGTTCTCTACACAGTCTATGACAGTGACTAGACAGTTCTCTACACAGTCTATGACAGTGACTAGACAGTTCTCTACACAGTCTATGACAGTGACTAGACAGTTCTCTACACAGTCTATGGCAGTGACTAGACAGTTCTCTACACAGTCTATGGCAGTGACTAGACAGTTCTCTACACAGTCTATGACAGTGACTAGACAGTTCTCTACACAGTCTATGACAGTGACTAGACAGTTCTCTACACAGTCTATGACAGTGACTAGACAGTTCTCTACACAGTCTATGACAGTGACTAGACAGTTCTCTACACAGTCTATGACAGTGACTAGACAGTTCTCTACACAGTTATGACAGTGACTAGACAGTTCTCTACACAGTCTATGACAGTGACTAGACAGTTCTCTACACAGTCTATGACAGTGACTAGACAGTTCTCTACACAGTCTATGACAGTGACTAGACAATTCTCTACACAGTCTATGACAGTGACTAGACAGTTCTCTACACAGTCTATGACAGTGACTAGACAGTTCTCTACACAGTCTATGACAGTGACTAGACAATTCTCTACACAGTCTATAGGAGTGACTAGACAGTTCTCTACACAGTCTATGACAGTGACAAGACAGTTCTCTACACAGTCTATGGCAGTGACTAGACAGTTCTCTACACAGTCTATGGCAGTGACTAGACAGTTCTCTACACAGTCTATGGCAGTGACTAGACAGTTCTCTACACAGTCTATGACAGTGACTAGACAGTTCTCTACACAGTCTATGACAGTGACTAGACAATTCTCTACACAGTCTATAACAGTGACTAGACAGTTCTCTACACAGTCTATGACAGTGACCAGACAGTTCTCTACGCAGTCTATGACAGTGACTAGACAATTCTCCACACAGTCTATGACAGTGACTAGACAGTTCTCTACACAGTCTAGGACAGTGACTAGACAGTTTTTTACACAGTCTATGACTGACTAGACAATTCTCTACACAGTCTATGGCAGTGACTAGACAGTCCTCTACACAGTCTATGGCAGTGAATAGACAATTTTCTACACAGTCTATGACAGTGCCTAGACAGTCCTCTACACAGTCTATGGCACTGACTAGACAGTTCTCTACACAGTCTATGACAGTGACTAAACAATTCTCTACACAGTCTGTGACAGTGACTAGACAGTTCTCTACACAGTCTATGACAGTGACTAGACAGTTCTCTACACAGTCTATGACAGTGACTAGACAGTTCTCTACACAGTCTATGACAGTGACTAGACAGTTCTCTACACAGTCTATGACAGTGACACAGTCTATGGCACAGACAATTCTCTACACAGTCTATGGCAGTGACTAGAAGTTCTCTACACAGTCTATGACAGTGAGTAGACAGTTCTCTACACAGTCTATGACAGTGACTAGACAATTCTCTACACAGTCTATGGCAGTGACTAGACAATTCTCTACACAGTCTATGACAGTGACTAGACAGTTCTCTACACAGTCTATGGCAGTGACTAGACAGTTCTCTACACAGTCTATGGCAGTGACTAGACAGTTCTCTACACAGTCTATGACAGTGACTAGACAGTTCTCTACACAGTCTATGACAGTGACTAGACAGTTCTCTACACAGTCTATGACAGTGAGTAACTCAGAAATTGACCGTCTCTCGACAATTGTTTACACAATATGTGACATTATCTGGAAAGTTTTGTTTGGATAAACCCACGGTGTTCCCAGTTTTGTGTGGATACACTCACGGAATTCACAGTTTTGTGTGGATATACCCACGGTGTTCCCAGTTTTGTGTGGATACACCCACGGTGTTCCCAGTTTTGTGTGGATAAACCCACGGTGTTCCCAGTTTTGTGTGGATACGAAATCCACGTGTGGATACACCCACGGTGTTCCCAGTTTTGTGTGGATAAAACCACGGTGTTCCCAGTTTTGTGTGGATAAACCCACGGTGTTCCCAGTTTTGTGTGGATAAACCCACGGTGTTCCCAGTTTTGTGTGGATAAACCCGTGGTGTTCCCAGTTTTGTGTGGATATACCCACGGTGTTCCCAGTTTTGTGTGGATAAACCCGCGGTGTTCTCAGTTTTGTGTGAATAAACCCATGGTGTTCCCAGTTTTGTGTGGATATACCCACGGTGTTCCCAGTTTTGTGTGGATACTCGCACGGTGTTCCCAGTTTTGTGTGGATACACCCACGGTGTTCCCAGTTTTGTGTGGATAAACCCACGGTGTTCCCAGTTTTGTGTGGATAAACCCACGGTGTTCCCAGATTTGTGTGGATAAACCCACGGTGTTCCCAGTTTTGTGTGGATAAACCCACGGTGTTCCCAGTTTTGTGTGGATAAACCCACGTTGTTCCCAGTTTTGTGTGGATAAACCCACGGTGTTCCCAGTTTTGTGTGGATATACCCACGGTGTTCCCAGTTTTGTGTGGATAAACCCACGGTGTTCCCAGTTTTGTGTGGATAAACCCACGGTGTTCCCAGTTTTGTGTGGATATACCCACGGTGTTCCCAGTTTTGTGTGGATACACCCACGGTGTTCCCAGTTTTGTGTGGATACACCCACGGTGTTCCCAGTTTTGTGTGGATAAACCCACGGTGTTCCCAGTTTTGTGTGGATACACCCACGAAGTTCACAGTTTTGTGTGGATACACTCACGGAATTCACAGTTTTGTGTGGATAAAACCAGTAGAGTTCACAATTTGGTGTGGATACACTCACAAAGTTCCCAGTTGTGTGCACTAAAATGAAAAACTAGCTGCATAACCCCGTTTTAGGTTTGGTTGCGGAGAAAATAAAACCTAGATCAAGGGAACTACTAGAACCAAACGGGACACTTGTCATCGAGAACCCAACGGGACACTTGTCATTGGGAACACAACGGCGCACTTGTCACTGAGAACACAACGGAACACTTGTCATTGAGAACACAACGGGACACTTGTCATTGAGAACACAACGGGACACTTGTCACTGAGAACACAACGGGACACTTGTCATTGAGAAGACAATGGGACACTAACAAGGAACGCAGCCTATGTACAAGACTTGGAACTGGACACAACAGATCCCGCGGCCTATGTACAAGACAGGGAACTAGACACAACAGACCCTGCGGCCTATGTACAAGACAAGGAACTGGACACAACAGGTCCCGCAGCCTATGTACAAGACTTAGAACTGGATACAGTTTGTCCCGCGGCCTATGTAAAAGACAAGGAACTGGACACAACAAGTCCCGCGGCCTATGTACAGGACAAGGAACAAGTTTTTGCAGTTTTATTTTTGGTTCTACTGAATAAATTTGTCCCGCGGCCTATGTACAGGACAAGGAACTGGACACAACAGGTCCCGCGGCCTATGTACAGGACAAGGAACAAGTTTTTGCAGTTTTATTTTTGGTTCTACTGAACAAGGCTGTCCCGCGGCAACGTAATTTTTGTAAATAAAATTTGTTTTTCAGTAAATCTGACCACTTTTATTGTTTGCTTTTGTTGAAGAAATATTTCTCCAGTTTTCTCCCCGTACTCTTGTCATTTAACACGTTATATTTCTCCAGTTTTCTCCCCGTACTCTTGTCAGTTAACACGTTATATTTCTCCAGTTTTCTCCCCGTACTCTTGTCAATTAACACGTTATTTTTCTCCAGTTTTCTCCCCGTACTCTTGTCAGTTAACACGTTATATTTCTCCAGTTTTCTCCCCGTACTCTTGTCAGTTAACACGTTATATTTCTCTAGCTGCTACCCTTACGCTTGTCAATTTGCACGTTATATTTCTCTAGCTGCTGTCCTTACGCTTGTCAATTTGCATGTTTTATTTCTCCAGCTCTGTCCTCGTACTCCGTCAAGTCAGTTTTAACACGTTATATTTATTTAGCTGTTTCCCAGCACGGCTCTCTAGTGTAGTTGACTAAACCAGATTGCGCGGTGACCGGGTGACGAACTCCTTGTGGTCCGGGTTCACTCCCGGGGATAGGCAGAAAAGCCACATTTCTCCCAAATTTACGGTACCTATCATGGAATCAAGGCCGAAAGGTTGCGATATCCATAATACCGAGCCTAAGGGTTAACAACTCATAACTTCTGGATACTAAAACAATCATCTAGCTGTTTCCCAGTACTCTTGTCAATTAACTGGTTATATTTATCTAGCTGTCTCCCTCTACTCTTGTAGATTCTTCTTCTTTTGTCAACATATGTGTATGCTGCTAGGCAGACGATTGGCAACCGAGGCAGGGCGCGCTCGGTCACTTGATTTGCCTTGATGTTATGCAGTCTCAATGTGTCGGTGACTTCTTCAATCGATTTTCTTCTCGGTCTTTCTCTTGGTATTTCGATTGTCAGGTTGTAAACTCTTGCTGCTGGCATCTTTGGTTTCATTTCTCATTAGATGGCCAAACCATTTCATTCTTTGTTTCTCAATAAATTTTGTCGATGGGTGTTGTCCCAAGTGTTCTTGTGATCACGTCATTTCTCCCTTGATATCTTCTGGTTTTATTCACAGCCATTCTCAAACATCTCATCTCACAGCTGGTTAGTCTTCTCTCGTGTTCTTTTGTCAATGTCCAAGTCTGAAACCTGTAACCTTAGGAGGATACCAAAATATCATACTCTTGTCGATTAACTCGTTTTATTTATCAAGCTGCAGCCCGTGCTTTTGTCAATGAATACGTTATATTTAGCCAGATGCTGCTTGTTCGCCTGTCAATTAACACGTTATATTTCTCCGAAGTCTCACAGAACTATTGTCGGCTCTTCTTTGAATCATTCCCCAAAATGGTGGCTTTAATATGATGGCGTTCGAAAGAGAGCTAAATTGGCCAATTTCTGGCCATAAAATATCCAAAAATATCCGAATGCGGGTCAGTTCTATTAAAAATATATGTGCCGGCTCCGGATAACGAAACAAATGCTCTGACAGGGTTTCGGCGATACGTTGCTTGCCGACCTGCTTCTGCGAGTGTGCCTCACCGCCGAGCGTATCCCGCGCCGCTACGCGCGGCGCGGATGGGGGCTAAACTAGATGGCTGGGACTCACGAGCGGCAGCTACCGCATCTCCTGCAACTTTCTCCAATTACTGTACTCGTGAGTCCCAGGCACCTAGTTTAACCCCCATCCCCGCCGCGCGTAGCGGCGCGGGGGATACGCTCGGCGATGAGTTTAATCGCGTTTGGCGCATGCCAACAAGTCTGACATCTACCGCTGCTAAATCCTCCAATCCTTGTACTCTTGTCAGTTAACTAATTATTTTTTTCCAGCTGTCTCCCCGTACTCTTGTTGTTTAACTCGTTATATTTCTCCAGCTGTCTCCCCGTACTCTTGTCGATTTCAGTGTGATATTTTTTATTGCTGTCTCCCCGAATTCTTGTCAGTCAACTCGTTGTCGATTAACTGGTGATATTTCTCTAGCTTCAGCACAGTTAAACCACCTCGGCTTCGAGTTGTTGCACGTGGCCCTGCTGCTCTAACCCGAGCTGCTGGAGGTCAACTATTTGCAGGTACTGCGTCTGTTTTCTGTGCCTGTTGTTGATACCGCCAGGGATGTGGCTTCAGACATCAGTTTTCTATTGTTGCATTAGATCCACGAGAATGACTCCGTGGTGTAGAGTGTTACCTTGTCATACCGCCACAGTTGTGGCTGGAATCGTCCGAATTCGTTTTTTTTTTATAGTTGTGTGTTCTGCACATTTCCGTCATCTTGTTATTGTTTCTTGTGTGCTTTTATTGTTCTGTTCTTTTCTAGTAGGCTTTCACAGGTGCCAAATTCCTCAGTCTGGTTGTCTCATCAGTCTTATTCTCTTCTTAGTCTTGTTCTTTCCTTAGTCTTGTTCATTCCTCAGTCTTGTTCTTTCCTTAGTCTTGTTCTTTCCTTAGTCTTGTTCATTCCTTAGTCTTGTTCTTTCCTTAGTCTTGTTCTTCCTTAGTCTTGTTCTTTCCTTAGTCTTGTTCTTTCCTT